TAATTGATGCATTTGATTCATTTAGTTTGGTGAGTAATTCATATAATGGATTGAATGTATTCTTCTTTTGACACCCATCACATAATGATATATTTATTTTAACATCTAATTTATTTAATTCATCACTTAATTTATGGATTATTTCTGCTTTCCTGTCTTCATTTTCTTCCTTGTCTAATTCTTCTGAAATCTTTCTTAGTTCATTTAATGATTTATAAAATAAATTATAATTATATCTTCTTTGTGCACAACTGGTACAATCTTCTATTTTTTTTAATGTATCAAGTAATTTGTTTGAATTAATTTGTTCATTTGATTCATTTAGTTTGGTGAGTAATTCATATAATGAGTTGAATATATTTTTCTTTCGACACCCATAACATAATACTATATTTATTTGAGCATCTAATTCACTTAATTCATTACCTAATTTATGTATTATTTCTGTTTTCCCATCTTCATTTTCTTCCTTGTCTAATTCTTCTGAAATCTTTTTTATTTCATTTAATGATTTACAAACAAAATAATTTTTTTGTCTATATTCTTTACAACTGATACAATTTTCTAATTTTTTTAATGTGCCAAATAATTTGTTTGAATTAATCAATTCATTTGATCCATTTAGTTTGGTGAGTAATTCATATAATGGATCAAATATATTCTTCTTTTGACACCCATAACATAATGTTATTCTATTTATTTTAACATCTAATTTATTTAATTCATCACTTAATTTATGGATTATTTCTGCTTTCCTATCTTCATTTTCTTCCTTGTCTAATTCTTCTGAAATTTTTTTTAGTTCATTTAATGATTCATAAAATAAATAATAATAATTATATCTTTGTGTACAACTGGTACAACATTCTATTATTTTTAATGTGTCAAGTGATTTGTTTGAGTTAATTGATTCATTTGATTCATTTAGTTTGGTGAGTAATTCATATAATGGATCAAATATATTCTTCTTTTGACACCCATAACATAATATTAATCTATTTATTTTAACACCTAATTTAATTAATTCATTACTTAATTTATAAATTATTTCTGTTTTCCTATCTTCATTTTTTTCCTTGTCTAATTCTTCTGAAATCTTTTTTAGTTCATTTAATGATTCATAAAATAAATAATAATAATTATATCTTTGTGCACAAC